GCCACCTTTGCTGTACGTGGGGACGTTACCACTCCCCATGTGTCCGTAGATGAATATGCTGGTGTTTGTATGTGGCAGCTTCGCCTGATGTGACCCCCAAGTGAGCACTGTGCCCCTCGGTCTGATCGACCTGGCAGACAGTTACCCTTCTGCTTCACTGGATGCTTCTTGGGCTGGAGCTGCCTGCCGGCTTCCCACTTCTCCCAGCAGCTTTTAGAGCCTGACCTACTTTTTCACTGCGGTAGTGAACCGGCATAAAATCGTGAAAATGTATGTAGTGACATTGATAGGGGAATAAAATAACATGGTGAGAAACTATGCAGCAGGATGAAGGCACTTAATTATGAGGGATGCTGCCCTTAAAATACAACACTTCAATATTTGGGTAAACGCTAAATAAACAGGAGGTGCCAGCCATGAACATCTTTGGAAAACAGGGCCATTTGCTTAGGGTGTGACTTCAGATACCCAAGTGTGACATCTTAGCAATATAAATGGCAGTTTCCAAATGTCACGACGTACATCAGAGCAGATGTCAGGACATTGGTGGGTGAGGGGCCTGCAGGAAGGTTGTGGTTGGGAAGTCTGGATCTGTGTGACCCAAAGTAGAGAAGGAGTTCCCAGAGCCACAAGGATATTTTAAATGTGTAACTCCCAGTGAAATCCCAGAGTGTTGGGGCTCTGAGTTGTATCCTCTGGGGAACTCTGCCCCCTCTGGCTCTTCCCAGACTCTGTCTTCCTCCAGTTCCCTGTGGCTAGTAAAACGTTAAATTACCTTTGCAAGTTTGGCCAGTGCTTCTCTGTCAAAGCTCCTGATTCTGAGCCAAAGCCTGTGAGAACTGGTGGAAGTTCACTGCAGGAGTTAACTTCATTTATAGTACAAGGTGGCAGCTAAATTCTGTAATGCTTTCAGGGAACAGAACAGAGATGTTTGATGCCTTCATCTGCTACTGTCAGAAAGACCTTCAGTTTGTCCAGGAGATGATCCGGGAGCTGGAACAAACAGAGTTCAAACTGAAGCTCTGTGTCTTTGACCGGGATGTCTTGCCAGGAACGTGTGTGTGGTCCATCAGCGGAGAACTTATAGAGCGGAGGTAAGTGACCCGTAGCTGTTTGGGACAGCTGAGTGTACTGGAACATGATGTGCGTTTTACCATGATGTCTGCAGCGCGGTGCCAGCAAAGCAGTAAAAATCCACAAGGATGTCTTTATGGGGTTTGCTTTATGCTCTTGGCTCAAGAAAGAAGACTTGAGCATTCGAAGAGGAGGCTGAGGGGGGATCTCATCATGCTCTACAATTACTTGAAAGGACATTGTAGAGAGGTTGGTGCTGGTCTCTTCTCACAGGTAATTAGGGACAGAACCAGGGGGAATGGTGTCAAGTTGCAACAGGGCAAGTTTAGGCTGGACATTAGGAAGAAATTCTTCACAGAAAGAGTGGTCAGACACTGGAACAGACTGCCTGGGGAGGTGTTTGAGTCGCCATCCCTGGATGTGTTCAAGTGTCGTTTAGGTGTGGTGCTGGGTGAGATGGTTTAGGGGTGACCTTGTAGTGTAGGGTTAATGGTTGGACTCGATGATCCCAAGGGTCTTTTCCAACCTGAATTATTCTATGATTCCCAAACACGTCACTTCGTTGTGTTCACAAGGGACATGCCACTGTAGTGATGCTGCTTCCATATGATCCCTTTTTTTTGGCCAGAATCTCTTGCAGTTGCATCCTTGGAGGTGATCTGGAAGCAAACACAGCTCAAATTAGGGAAAGCAGGTGAACTCACAGTGACAGGAGTACGAGAAAGCTCTGATCAGTTCATTCTAATATTAAGAAGTACTGGTCATGCTCATTCAATAAAGGCAGCATGTAAGCAGATAATTAAGGTGGCATTGTTCATAACCAATAGAGGATTAAATAAAGATTGCACAGACAATCTGGGCAAATAGTTTGCTCATATTGTGGTACGTGAGAATGTATCTGCAATCAGGTTTTTGAGTGTGAGGTAGCTGTCTGTGTGACAGTAGGCCTTTCTCTGTAGTTAATTCCTAAAAACTGGCAGGTTCATTTCCTCACCGGAGCGATTCAGAGCAATGCTCACTTCTACCAGTGAGAACAAAAAGCATCTCTTTTGATATTTTTTTTTTTTTTTCCCTCCCCTGACTGCTTTGTCTTCAGGTGCCGGAGGATGGTGGTCGTCATTTCAGATGATTACCTGGAAAGCGATGAATGTGATTTTCAGACCAAATTTGCTCTTAGTCTTTCCCCAGGTAAGGCCTCACAAATCTCCCATTTGAAATTGCGTATCGACAGTAAGATCTTTATTACAGTAATGCCTCCGGCTGAGATCAGGGTCGTACTAATGGGCACTGCACAAGTGCAGAATGAGGGGTAGTCTCAGATATGCTTAAACAGATTGGATAAATATAGATGAGAAAGGAGAAAATAAATAGTTTTTGAGGTGCGGGCAGGGATGTGGACTTGGTTCCTTGCCCTGCCATTGACCTTCTGCATGACCGCGAGCGAGAAGCTTGGCTGTCTCTGCTTCAGTGCTCCAGCTGTCAAGGGGGTGAACACTTTCTGCCTCGGAGAGGCAGTGGCATGTCAGGCTCGTGAAGTGCTTCAAGATCTATACAGGAGATAAAATTCAAACAAATTCAAGGTGTGAGTAAATGCTTGGAACAGGGTAGCAGGTAAAGACCATTCAGCTTTTTGCAGAAATGCACGAGTGTCATGGGTTGGCGTGGAATGAATGTTCAGTTTGGGCTGGAAAAGGCTATTACTTATTTTGTTCTGAATTGAAAAGCCATCACTTGTGCCGCGTCTGTTCAGCTGGCTTTTCTCTGACCACTAGTTACCCTCCACTTGTGCTTGTTGCTGGGCAGTGAGTGCAGCACAGCCTGATAGTACGGAGGTTATGTAATATCAGGGAGTGTCTGCGTGTAAAGTCTCTTCTCTAGATAATGTATCTGACATGATATTACAAACGACATGCCAGAGGTTAAACTGGAAGCCAGTGACAGGTAGGAATTAGCTCCATCTTCCTCAGCGCAATAATTTCGTGGCCATTAAGCCATTGAACGCCCCAGCACCTCGCATCAGCCCCCAGTCATCAGAGTTTGTCGGGAAGACCTTTTAGTTCTTCACCATGTTTTTGTTGGCATCCTACCTTTCATTAGAGCAACGGGAATAGAACTGTCGAGCTCTATGCAATGACCTGAGCTCTACCGGTAAAAACATCCATGTAAGTACAGGTTTACAGAGATCTCAGCGGTGCTTGTTTATCTGGAGTAATTAATACACAGAAGGGTTTGGTGGCAAATTCTGGGAGCACCATGGGTTGCTTAAGCATCTGCTGCGGTTATGAAATCTTGGTTATTTGCCTCCTTCCAAGTCTCTGTGTCATCACCTGTGCTGGGCAGCACAGCTTAGCCGGCTGTGGTGTCCCTTGGAAGAATTATAAGGGGAGAGATTCCTCTTTAGAAAAGCTGCTTCTCTGAGGAGTAGCAGTCGGGCAAGGCTGTCTCACCTCATGCACACCTCAAAAAACGCAGTTCCCGTTAGCAGAGTGATTCCTTGCAGCCCCTTGTTGGGTAACATGTGCAGCCCAGCTGAGTACATCGGGGTGGGAAGAAAAAGAAATGAGAACAAGGCCAGGTTGGACGGGGCTTTGAGCAACTTGGTCGAGTTAAAGGTGCCCCTGCCTGTGGCGGGGGGGTTGGAACCCCGTGATCTCTTAAGGTTAATTCCAACCCAAACCAGTCTGTAATTCTATGATTCTAGAACCCACCAAAACCTGTCCTCAGGGAACAGCTGAGCCTCTGGATTTACTCTTCACGCACAGCTGGAAGCAGTCAGGACTGTATCCCGCTGCGTTCCACAAGAACCTGTGCGTGGTTGTTCTATACCTGCAGTTCATTCGGCCTTTACCGCTTCCACCAGCGTGAGGTGGGGCCCTGCTTCATGTTTGAGTGAAACATTCTTAGCAGAGGGCTTGGGATTTGGGAACGTGCTCTCCAGGGTGAGGGCTTGTTGCGTTATAACGAGTTGATGCAAAATCAGGAGCAAACCTGGGTCTTGTGATGTGTGTGCTGCTGCGGGGAGCAAAGGGCTGCGGGATCTGCCAGTGGCTCCACATAATCCTCTGCCTGTGGGACCTGTCTTGCAGGTGCTCGTCTCAAACGCCTGATTCCAGTCAAGTGCAAAACCATGAAGAACGAGTTTCCAAGTATCTTACGGTTCATTACGATTTGCGATTACACCAATCCTTGCACCAAAAAGTGGTTCTGGACGAGACTGGCAAAATCCCTCCTGCTGCCCTGATGGAAAGCCGTGAGAGCTGGGCGCTCTCGTCACCTGTCCCGGCTGTGCCTTCTCACCGTGGGGTTCTTCGCACAGCGTCTTCTGCCACTTCAGAACCCAGATCCTTCCCATCCCTGTTTGGAGCCTGCAACCGGGAGCAAAGATTTTTTTTTTTCTAGCACTTTTTTATATCTTGGAAGGGGAAATCAAGCAACTGTGTGGGTGTTGCTGTTCAGTCGGCGAGCAGCAGCATCCAGCGTTTCGTTTGTTAGCACTTTCACTGAAAATAGAGAAAATATTCCTCTAAAGATTGGGTGTCTAATACAGGAAAGCTCTGTTGTAAGCGTTTAATAAGAGCCTCAGACCACAGGCTTTTGTAAATACTTCCTGTAATTTTACAAGCTGTTTGGTGGCTGTAGTCATATCAAGGGTTGGGGGTGGTGTTTTTTTTTTTTTTTTAAATCCCAGAGAAATCCCACAGCTGCCTGGTGAGATCTGCAGGTTGCAGACTCTGTTTCCTGTGCCATGCAAATGGTTTTTGGTGGCCTTTTCGGGGGGCCCAGCCCCTCCTTGCCCCTTGTGCCAGGGACGATGTCCTGCCCTGCCGCTGAGCAGCACGGGGAAAAATGTGTGTGGACCCTCCCTGTCATGAGGGCAGATGGTCTCCTTTGGTCCTTGTTTTGAGAAAAGCAGATGTTAAAATGTTAAAGCACTGCAAAGAAATGGATGGTTCTGCCATTATTCTTAGCAGTATCTGCAAAATTAGAGCAATTACCCATGTAATTACAACTAATGCAGAATTACCGAGCTTGGTTTATTTTCTGTGGGTGTTTTCCTCCTCGAGTTACATCACAATATTCCTGTCCTGTGTTCAGTTATGGGGTAAATGCCTTGTCACTAGTATTTTTCTGAGGCAGTCCCTCAGATTTGCTGCAAGTGGTTTATTTTTTGCTTGTTGAAAGCAAGAAGTGTAAGGCAAGACACAGTCTTGTACGCTCTTTCTGTCTCCGTTCAAGTCACATTTGTTTAAATTACCTTTATACCAGCATTTTATATTCCCAAGTCTTACTAAATGTTTACAATAGAGCCTTCCTTCAATAGAAATTCAGTCTTAAAATACGTATTTTCAGTGAAAGTCCTTACTATGCAAAGCACGGGCCACTGTCACTCATGGACTTGGCCAGGAGCAGAGCTCTGCATCCAAGCAGGTCCAGATCTTCCCTTGTTTCACCTGCAAGAGCCTTCCCAAAATGCTTCAGATTTTGTGCACACCTTAAAGGCACAGGGATAAATATTGAATAAATTGTCAACTGGGTTGTTTAAAATAGGAAGGCTGATATTAGGTTAATAGGAAAGAACATATTTTAATCAACTGCCACCATAATAACTGTATTTCTGTGGCTGAGGCTTGGAGCAACGCTGATCGTGCTCTGCGTGTTAGACTTTGCCTTGAATCCTGGGGAGCGACTGGTGGATCTCATTGATTCTCAGTGCTCAGGGGGTGGGGGCAAGAGTCCTGCCCAAAGTAGCATTTTAAAGCGACCCGATGATTTATTAAACAGTTTTACAGGAAATACTTTCTAAATTGGAAAGAGAGGAATGTTGTTCGTGTATCAGCAGTTGCTTGAGCTCTTCCACTTTGTTCATTACTTCAGCTGCTGACTCGTGGTGATTTTACGGCGTAATGTTTTACTAGTTCATATTTTTAAGGTTGCATCTGGAGGTGACTTTTTCCTTTTTCCCTTTTTTTCTTTTTTTTTTCCCTTGTTTTTTTTAAGGATTTGTTTTAAAGCATTACCAGGGCTGAGGTACAGACAGAAAAGCGTGCTCCTGCCTTTCCCCGCCCCATCCCCTGTCAGTGACCCATCCCTTACCTGGGGGTGCCACTAACTCCTGTCCACAGTTGGTCCCCGACTGGAGCCGGGCGAAGCAAAGCTCGTTCAGGTGTTGGTGTCAGGGGCCGTTTCTAGACAGGCCCCGTGCCCTGGGTGGTTTTCAGTCCCTCCTACAGACTCACACCTCTCTGTTTTGTTAGGATAAGCCAGAAGTCCTTGGGCTGGTTTCTAGTTTGTCTTGATGTCCTGTCACCCTCGGGCCTCTCTTGCAGAAGCCGAGGCAGCTGCTCGCCCCGGGGTTTCTGCATAATCGGTAACTGTTAATTACAGAAGAGTTTCTAGAGGCTGCTTGATTCCCCAGGCAGTTCTGGTGCTTGGTGAATTCTCATACTCCGGAGCTCTGTAAATGTTAATTATGGGTCATTACTCACAGGACCAAACCAGACTCCTCTTCTTGGAGAGGTCACTAATTAGAGGGGAGCGCGGGCAGAGGAGGCTGCGTCACAGACACTAGAGGGAAGCAATGGCCCACGCTGCGAGGGAGGCAGAGATGGAGACCTGGGGATGGACCGGTTGTCAGGCTGTGGAGAAAAAGAGGGGGTTTTACTCCTCCGCCTCTCGCACCCTTTTCTAAGGAGGCTTTGCCAAAACGAGGGAGAATTTTGGCACATTGAACCTCGTGTGGTGGCTCCTGTGTGAGTCCCGATGGGTCGTTTGGGGCTTGGGGTGTTGTAAAGGAGGCAAAAACTTAGAGCCGCAAAAATAACGGTGTCTGTGATAGACGATCCGGTGTTTGCCGAGCATGGGAAGTGCTGCTTCTGGAAGGGAAAGCGAACATAAGAGCTAAATTGCTAAATCTTGCGATTTCCAGTAGGTAAATGCAGTGTTCCAGCTAATTGTGACAGGTGTTGGTGCTTTGGTGGGAACTCGTTACCGGCCCTTCTGTCAGCCTGGCTCAGAGGCCGGGCAGGTACTGGAGTTGTCAGAGTCTTGCTTTGTTGCAAGCAGTTACGATTTGTCTCGTAGGCTAAAATAATTATTTTTGGGTAAAGTGGGGTAACAGCCCTAAACCATAAACCATGTGCTTTAAATATGTATCCTGTTCTATGTGAAAAAACAGTTTATGCGCTTCTGACATTTTCACATGGTCTTGTCATGGTGACTTGATGAAGTGCGACATCTCTGAATGATACAAAATATGATTATTGTGAACATGTTTCAGTGGCAGTTGTGCTTCTCCCTTCTTTCACACTCAGTGGAAGGTCAAAATTTTGAACACCTTTAACAAAGGCACTTACAAAATCATGATGTGTTTTTTTTTTTTTCTCATTTTGTTTCTGTATCTCGCTGGAACTATCCTAGTTCAACCTGTTGGTGCCAAATCACTTATTTTTATATAGAGAGATATATATTTATATGACTTTCTATCATGATACAAATCAGTGGAAAAGCATACATGCTGTGTAGCCATTCTGAAAATAGTCGATGATTCTGTGGTTTTTCTTTTCCTCAAACCCCAAAACTTTTGCTACTTGTGAAAACATTTTAAAATAAAGAATTAAAACTCAGCAGGCTGAATCTCCTTCTTTGGCATTGGAGAATAAATACTAGGTCTCAAAATGAAGTGTCAGTGAGAAATAATATGGCATAGTTAATTTTTTATTTGCTTTTTTCTCCACATTTTCCCTGAAAATCTGGCTCAGTGGAGATTTTTGGCCACTCGCTCGCACAGCAGCGACCTGCGGGGTGTTACCAGCTTTTATTTCCTTTGGCTCAGAGTCAGTCCAAGCCGGGGAAATAACTCACAAACCCAAGCAGCTGTGGGGCCAAGGCCCTGCCAGGCAAAAGCCGATGGATCGCTGAATCACGGAGATGCTGGTTGGAAGGAATCGCTGGAGGTCAGGGATGAGCTGCGCTTCCCGCCGGGGAGGGGCTGTGCACAAAGCTGCTCTCAGGACGATATATAAATACTGCAGGATGATATATAAGCAGGTGAAGTAGTGTCTTTGCTCCAGCTTTTGTGAGTGAACATATGGACAGTGATCTGGAAACCATCCCTGAATATGTTACTCTCGATAGAAATCACTGGCGAGAGCAGCCTGCCGGGATGGTCCCACTCCCAGAAGCGCTGGCATCGTGTCACGGCTTTACGCCGCCGGCCTGTTGGCGGGCTTTTGAGCAGTTAAGTGATTTTTTTGTCTTTATTTGATAGTAGCTCAGACTCAGGCGGGGTCAGGGGTCTGGCTGCGGTAGCTCTTCCTACCTTTCCTTCCCCTCGTGCTGAAGAAATACTCCCAGTCCTCTTTGCACTTCGATGCAGGAATGTCGGCGCCGTTTCCTTGTTCACCTGGTGAAATTTGGTAAATGTCACAGAACGTTCCAAGCTTCAGAGCTGGAGAGGGAGAGATGAAGCGTTGCCCCCTGCGTGATCAAATTCTGTTCTTCATTACGCTGACATGCAAGCAGTTGCTTTATCATGATCGAGGCACTGCTTGGTCCAGAGGGCACGTTTATAGATGAATAATTAGCATAGGAAAGAAAATGTAACTATGCATAAAAATGGCTGAGAAAATGTTGTTTGAGCATTCTGGCAACATATTTTAATAAGGCAATACAAAGAAACAAAAACCACGAGGTTCACGTGACTGGAAAGCATGCTAATAGAGCTCGTTAAAAAGCACCTCTCAAACCTATTGGGGTTTTACCAGACATGCGCTGCGCACAAGTATTTCACTAAAGGTGATTTTCTCGAGGTGCTGTGTTACAACCATTTGCGGCTCAGCTGATTCCCCATTAGGATTTTGAGATGACTTTGAACCCAACCCAACTTGACAAGCACTATCAAGCCCAGCCCAGAAAACTTGAGGGATTTTTTTTTTGTAGCAAAACCTGCCATCAGGGGAATGAATATTTTTGTGTCTACTCTGGAGCTGTGCAAAAGTTTAATTGATTGAAGGTGCATTTAAGTCTTGAGTTGTTCCAAAGTCTGATTTGCAAACAATGTATTTTCTACTCATGTAGCAGAGACTGGCTTAGCAACACGACATTTCTTCCTCCTGTTTCATGCCAGAGGTTGGGGCCATCCCTGCCCACCAGAGAGAAGCTGGTTGTCTCCCAGCTGGATGAGGTGGTTTCCACAAAGGCACGTCAGTGCGCACCAGCAGTTGTGAATTTCCCCAGTTCCTAGGCTGGCTTAGCTTGGGTTTTGGTGGGTCCAGACTGGAAGCAGGGAATAAATGCGGTCTGCATTGACTGTGAAACACTCAATTCCGTCTTCTTACAAAAGGTTGCTTGGAACTTTTTCCCCTCCTTCTGTTTCTCACCTGCCTTCCCGCTGCTCTTGCAAAACGGGGACAGCTAACACAGTGTC